TAAACGTTCTCAAAACAACTACCACAGTTCGTCTTCACACCATTCGACGCCCAGAGAATTTCCGAACAAACGTCTTCCCGTTTCTTGTTTCAAGTGCGGCCAATCCGGTCACTATGCGAACAAATGTTACACTTCTAATTCTTCGAATTATCACCAACAGAGGACCCAACTTAACACCTCAACTGACAATTCTTCTAACCGATTTCATCTTTCTCACAATTTCAGTAATGGCAACCGCCAGAATTCGAACTTTCTGAGGAATCGGTCTTGCAATAATAACCGAAATCTGAATAACGCTAACGCTTCAATTCTAGCGCAGGATCTTTGTGGTTTCGAATAGCGTTAACGCTGTCAACGCGTAATTCCGCTTCAACTGTAAATTCAAATTCGGAAAACTAAACAGAGTCAATTCATTGGGGGGATGGATTGACTCTATCAAAGAAAATAAACTCAAATGTTCTCGAATTTCAACTGAAAACCCAAAATTAATACAGGGATTAAAAATTGATGGTACGATTAATAAAAATCAGTGCTCAATGATTATTGACACTGTCTCAGATATTACTCTCGTTAATCCTAACCTCTTCAATAACAATTTGAAAGAGTTGAGAGATGTCATAAAAAATATCACTATCCAAACAGTTTCAGGCGAAGAATTTCCCGTACATTGCTACGAAACAAATAACTTTTACCATCGGAAATCTTTCTCTGGATCTAGATGTGATTTTCGCAGATACCTCAGATCAATGCATTCTCGGATTGGATTTCCTATTGAAATCCGGATTATTAAAAGATTTCAAGTCAATTATCAATCGCAAATTTGATATTAATCATGTTAGGAAAATCGTTTCTATAAAACAAGTAATCTCGAATGAAATTCCTTCTGACACTCTTGGTAGTCGAAAAAGGATTGCAGATCATGTGACCAAGCTTTTCGAAAATTTTTGTAAACTTTTGAATTTTTACGAACAAGAGCAACTTTACCTATTCTTCCTGCAATTTCAGAATAGTTTCTCTAACAATTCTGAGGATTTAGGACGGTACCAGGGAACGAAACATCAGATTGTTGTGAGAAATTGTCCTCCAATCAGGCAAAATCCTCGCCGAATCCCTTTTCATTATCAGGACAAGGCATTCGAATTATTAGAAGAACTGAAAAATTAGGAGGTCATCGAACCAAGCTGTAGCCCTTGGTCTTCTCCTGTGGTTTTTAGTAAAAAGAAAGATGACTCTTTACGATTTTGTGTCGCCTATCGTCGCTTGAATGACGTCACAATCAAAGACTCCATGCCTTTACCTCGAAGTGAAGACATTTTCAATTCTAGCGCCGGATCTTTGTAGTTTTCGACGATTGATTTGAAAACTGGTTATTGGCAGGTTGAATTAGATCTCAAGGATAGAGCAAAGACAGCTTTCCCAATCGCAGACGAACTGTGGCAGTTCAAAGTCTTACCTTTTGGACTTTGTAATGCTCCAGCCACCTTCGTTAGAGTCATGAACAAAGTTCTGAGGGGTTTAATCGGTAAAATCTGTCGAGTCTACTGGGACGATATTATCTGTTTGGCACAAATTTCGATGACCATTTGAAAAACGTCAGAACAATTTTCTCGCGACTATCTTCAGCCAACCTCAAGGTCAACACTAAGAAATGTGTTTTCTTTAAAGAGGAAGTCATATATCTAGGTCATGTTGTTTCCAGGAAAGGAGTTCAATGCTCACCTGAATAAATCTCCTTCATCTTATCTTGGCCAATGCCTCGAATAAAACTCCAACTCTGCAGCTTCCTCGGATTATGTTTCTACTATCGAAATTCTGTTAAAGATTTTGCAAACGTTGCCAAACCCTTACACACTCTCAGAGAACACAAAATTCCCTTCGAATGGTCACAAGAAGCCTAAATAGTTTTGACCAACTAAAACAACTCCTCACAAGTCCACCAATACTTTCAATACCGATTCTCGATGGTGATTTCATCCTTGACACTGACGCATCTAACACAGCAATCGGAGCCACTCTCTCTCAGATCCAAAATGGTGAAGAAAAAGTCATCGCATATTTCAGCAAATGCCTTAAAAAATCAGAAAGGAATTATTGCGTTACTCGTCGAGAACTTTTGGCTGTAATTCGATCTGTTGAAAACTAATCACTATCTCCTTGGCCGTAAATTTCTCATTAGAACTGACCACGCGGCCCTGAAATGGCTTCTATCGTTCAAACATCCTCACGATATTGTTGCTCGTTAGCTAAAAATCCTGTTCCAATATGACTTCTCAATTACACACAGGCTTGGCCATCTCCATGGTAATGCTGATGGCCTCTCTCGTCGTCCTTGCACCAGTAACAAATGCAACCGATCAAATTCTGTAGAGGAAGAAGCTTTTAAACGAGTTTGCAGAACTATCTGCACCGTGGATGACCGTTTCGATTGGCTTCGATTCCAATTAGAAGATCCAGTTTTGAGATGCATCATTTAGTTCAAGGAGAAGAATGAACGCCCTAATTGGTCCATAGTTTCTTATTTAGGCTCTGAAATTAAGATCTACTTATTGTACTGGAATTCTTTGGAATTGAAGAATGGAATACTCTATCATTGTTGGGAATCTCCCACTCAATCAAAAATTATCTTTCAAATCGTCGTTCCAACGTCAGTTATGAAAGAAATCTTAGAGCTCTCTCGTTCATCTCCAGTCGGTGGTCACTTCAAACTGAACAAAATGTTGAGTAACATTCGCAGACGTTTTTACTGGGCCAATTGCAAGTTTGATGTAGAAAAATGGTGCAGGACTTGTTCTATTTGTTTCAATCGTGATGGGCCTAGGCAACGAATCAGAGGAAAGCTTCAGCTTTACAATGTAGGGTTCCCATTTGAGAGAGTCGCTGTCGATATTTTGGGTCCGTAACCTAGATCTACGAGCGGGAATCGTTTTGTCTTCGTTGCCACCGATTACTTTTCACGTTGGCCGGAGGCTATCCCACTCCCGGATCACAAAGCTGAGACTGTAGCGGAGACTTTGATATCACATGTCTTTTCCCGATTCGGAGTACCGCTTGAGATTCATTCGGATCAGAGAAGAGATTTTGAGGCTAGAGTCTTTGATCACGTCATGAAGCTTCTAGGGATCCATAAAACTAGGACCACTCCCCTCCATCCGCAATCTAACGGGATGGTCGAACGTCTTAATCGATCAATTCTAAATTATCTTGCTAAATTTATTGACGATAATCAGAAGGTGTGGGATAAATGGCTTCCCCTATTCCTCATGGCCTATCCTTCTTCAACGCACCAAAATATTGAATTCTCTCCAGCAATGGTAATGCTCGGTCGAGAACTGCGACTCCCATTAGATCTTCAGGGAAATCCTCCAGGCGATAATGCTATTAATGACATCACTCCTGCTAGTTACGTTGATCAACTCCAAGACCATTTAATCAATGTTCATCAACATGTTCGAGAAAATTGGTTACTTAAAAGCAATAAGATGAAATCGAAATTTGATTTGAAAGCTCATATAATCTATTTTACACCTGGACAGAAAGTTTGGCTCTTTGCCCCCAAAAGAGTCAAAGGAAAGTATCCAAAAATCCAACGAGACTGGCAAAAGACCTATGTAATTAGATCAAAATTGAATTTAGTGTACCGTATCCAGAAGTTCCCACGGGGGAAGTTCAAAGTGGTTCATGTTAACAGGCTCTGGCCAATGGAAGAATGAACCCATATTAAAATTTCCATTGTCTTTTGTTGAACTTTACTTTCATTCTCAATTGCTATATAATCTGGGTTGATTACATCACTGGTTAACTGACATAAAATTTCCCGTGGTTAGCGGATGATCAGTGGTTAACTGATATAAAATTCCCCGTGGTTAACGGAAAATAACTAACTTGATCACTCTATGGGTGATGTAGATTTTCTGATTAATAACTCATAAAATAATACTGGGCCCAGTAGATTAATAATTTGAGACTGACAAACGATCAATAAATTTTGTTATAAGAAAAATAATCTTAAAAGACATTGCTTTCTTTTACCTTTACTTTTTAACCACTGTGTATACAAATATGAACAAATGTATTAGAATAATCACTACACATCTATCCATATAACAAACAAATGAAAATTGTAATGAATACACCGTTGGAATTTAGTGAATTGTATCGAGTCAGACCACATTCGGGTTGTTTTTCAGCATTAATTTTCTGGGAGGTTTTAGCTGGAAAACAAACTGGAGCCCTCCCTATGTGGGATCTTGCAACTTTTCAGATACGTTTCAGTCTATCCTATCATGCCGCCGAGGGGGGAAGGGGGGACGTGCACGTGCACTTCCTGGAAAAAAAAGGGGGGGGGGGACATGGGAACTTCGCCAATAATGGACACTTACTGCTGACTGGCATTTATCATTCCCTCCAGTCATGAATTATGAATGTGAAATTCAGTAAATGGTAAACTGTTGGTATATTCCAAAAAAAATTTTAATTGTTATTTCAATAATTTCCCCAATTCGAAGCATAAATAGCGCATTTTTTTGGAGATATGTCATTTCACTGCTGGAAATGACCGTTTTTGATGGTTACATTACTCTGTTACTAAGCTGTTCATATTGACAGAAAACAATGACTCTTTAATTTTCATCTCGAGTAATGGGTGATTCTGCAATTATTGAAAAACATGAACTTATAGAAAAAAATCAATGATTTAACGGGATATCTTATTCTTTCTTCTTAATTTAACTTTAACCGAGGTCTAACTGTGGCTAGCTAAACCCAAAATCGGCCCTCAGCGATAAAGCGTGAATTATTCGTGAACCCGCGCAACCGCACGCTTTGTGGATTTAGTGTTTCTTATTGGCTATCTGAAACGTATTCTCCATGTTACTGAATGTTTTTTATGATGACAACTTTTCAATACTCTATGCATTGCTCTCCTCATTTAACCCCGTCAATTCTTAAAAAGAGAATTGAAATGGAATATATTCATCACGTATGATTTTAAAAATTTCTAGGGAAGATTTAGACGAATCAGAGTACAAAGAAACCAAAGGGGAAACAATGGATCAGTTACGTGAATTCAACGAGAGTCTTCAACGCATGATTTCAGGAGACATGACTCTAGTAGATCAGCTGGGCGCGATGCAATTGGCAACGCAGGCAGCAGTAAGTGCAGCATTCAAAACTCCAGCGGTAATCAGAATGTTTGGAAAACGTGAGCCAAATCAATTACGAGAACGTCTTTCAGAAGTAGAAAGAAACATGAGACTTGGAAAATTGAGTAAAGAAACAAGTGAGAGACAACGAGTCGAGATTCTGAGTGCTTTGAAGCAGTTGGGGGAGAAATTGGAACAATTCGAGCATGAATTCTTAGAAAAAATGTCGGTGGGCATTTTCGATATCACTGGCTTTATTGAGATTTCCGATAGTTAAGAACAAGGCCAAATGGTACTAGCAATGGCTAGTAAGGAAGTCGAAGTCACCCAGTGACTTGAAAGCGCATGAAAAAGAAATAGATTCCTTCTAGATCATGAAGGTTAAAATGTACACGGTGTCCCATAGCATGTGATCAAAGTAAATTGGAAATAACTTGGATACAGTGAAATGTAAATAATTGTTTTTTTTTATTTTACAAGAAACATTCGGCAAATTACAATACAATTCCTTCCAAGTGTCCGCCATCACTTGCACTACAGAACTCTATCCTGCGTTCGAAACTGGTATAGATGCGCTGTATTGTGTTTTTTTCAACACCTCGGATACCATCCCTAATTACGTCTTGCAACTCTCCCACCGTCATCGGATGCTTCTCATAGCACTTGTCCTTGAGAAAACCCCATAAGCAAAAATCGCAGGGATTTAAGTCCGGACTATAAGGCGGCCATTCCATGCCTGCATGCTTGGGGTAACCTAAGCCTAACACACGAGTGCCGTAAACGGAAAAAAGTATTTCAAATACTCCAGCAGTCCTGTGTGGGGGGGCACCATCTTGCATGAAGTAGAAATTCTCGACTAACTGATTTTTTCGTGCTTAAGGAAAGAAGTTCTTCTTCAAGAACTCACAGTAAATATCAGCACTGATTGTCGAACTCTCAATAAATTCAAGGAAAATACCTTTTATTGTAATTGCCGCCCATGCAGTGACTTTTTTTGGGTGTGAGGACTTGGTTTCAATAACGTGAGGTGACTCAGTCCCCCAAAAGCGAAAATTTTGTTTATTTACTAAGCCACCTAAGTAGAAATGTGCTTCATCCGAGATGATATTCTGTGCCTTCATTTCCTTGGATTCAAAAAAATTGTGAAGTTCTTGGCAAAATTGCACACGGCGAGCCATCGCCTCCTCACTTAAAAATTGATGTGCAGAAATTTTGTAGGGATGGAAGTTTAAAAACACTTTCAAGATGCGGTGAAGTGAAGTTTTTGAGGCTTTCAAGCTTTGAAAAGCCTTTCAAAGAGCACCATTTGGATATTTTTTGAAATATTCTTCAGTTTTGCGGACAACTTCATTCGTGGTTACAGTACGTGAAAGACCAGGATGCCCATGCCTTCTATCGTGTAGTGTATCGTGTAGTGTAATTAAGAGATTTGATCAGTACGGTACACCGTACTGATCAAATCTCTTAATTATCCTGAAAATACCCATAATTGGTCGAAAAATGCGTCAATTTTCAACAAAAGAAGAAAACCAAATTTTTTGGTTAGTTAGTTCATTCACTTTATTTATCGTTTGAGACTCGAATCAGATGCTCCAGTGTGTGTGCCATACTTGAAATGAAATGCTCTTATAGCTGCAGTAGCTGAATCTCCTTTTCGGTAATATGATTTGATGAGGAATGATTTTTGTTCGATGGTTAAATTTTCCATTTTAGTGCTGCAATTCCCGAGCGACTGAAGCATGAATGAAATTTGCAAAGAGTCTCCACTTCAACTATATATTAGATTGCACTGCCACCTTGCGGTATTCTACGCAAGTTACTTTGGTCACATGTTATGGGACACCTTGTAGAAATCAGCTTTTCATTTATTTAACCGTTTTGAGTGCTTATTAATGATGGGAATCTATTAATTGTGGAATGGATCAGATTTTTCTTCATTTCAAACATAATGCTCGAACGAACAACTCTTTCATCTTCATATATTTGTTATAACTCTGCACTTTCAAAAGGTTTATATGGAGACGCATGAGAATCACTCGAAAATCTAAGAAAGAGATAAGTACAAATACGTGCCCAGGATTTATTTTATTAATTTGTGAAGAAAACAGTTATATACTCAACGATATTTATTGCCTAGATTTATAAACAAAAAGAGAGAATACTTATTATTAAGAAGGCTGACGTCACTAACGTTTACCTAAAAACTTACGTTCATCATTTATCCTTTATATACTCACTTCAACGATAATCATCAAAATGGCTGATCTTCCTTGAATAAGACTAAATTTTCCCTCTTTTCTATAGGGATTTATGCATGAAAAAAGAAAATGCATCATTTCCACGGTTTTTTTTTCTTAATTTTAATGGTTTCAGACAACGAGAACATTGTATCAAATGGTGGGCTATTTTTCCAATTGATTGTATCCATATATTTCACCTTTGAAAAATTACACATCTAATAGTTTATTTGATATATCGCAATTCTCGTTTTTTAGATGGCAAAAGAAGATACATTCGTCGAGTTTTAGTAATGCCTAAATGATTCAGAGTCCACATCTAATTAAAATTTTTATAACCTATTGAATTTTTTTATGACGGCAAGATGGGTGAAAATTCTTATAGTAATTGTTTCAATGTTTCTGTCCACACCAAGTGCCGAATCGGGCAACAAATTATCATGGAGAAAAAAAAACAAAATAAGAAACATTGATTGATTGCCGCGAGTAAAGATACGTCAGACATCTCTTTACATTCTAACTTTAATTATTATAGAGTAAATATTTGTCTCAATTCAAAGGGTGCTAAAGCTATTTTCTCACTCTCAGAGCGATCGTTCAAGATTTCCGTATCCATTTTTAACCATTGTCGGAATGATGCTTGGCCATTTTTCACTCACTAATATATTTATCATAATATATTAAGTGCCCTTAACAATTGTCTTCACTTGATTCCTCATTGTTTAATATTAAAAGTCTCTTTCGAAGGATCTTAAAGTGTCACCAACGAAGCGCTATTGATGCGGATCCTTGGATTATTGTACCCGTGGAGGCAGAGTGAACGTTTGACTAGCGTTTACGTCTGCATACTCTCTTGTGCTCCCTTTGCCAATGCAGTTGTTGGCAGTCTGTGCTGCAGTACGCCGTGTTCCAGCAGCAGTGGTAAATTGCTTCAGTTTCGCAGTTGTAACACTGAAATAATTAGAAATGGATTAAAAATCCTTGGAATGACTGTTCAGGAGTTTACCAAGCAGTGGCAATACATAATGGCCAAAATACTGTTCAATAGTTTCAAACATACCCATTGCTTCTTCTTAATCTCCGAAATAACTTGCTGATGCTTTTCAGTCATCTGCCTCAACTCTTTAGCATGTTCAGCTTGCAGTCTCTCAAGCTCCCGACATTTATCTAACTCCATTTCCCTGCGCAGTTTATCAAGCCCAGTGGTTGTGGGTTGTTCAGATGTTCTGCGTTCTCTCTTCACCTGGAAGCATATGACATACTACTCGGATACTGCAACAGCACAGTCTTGCCCACCGACCCAATTCTCTTCCTTTTAAGGGGAAACGGAATCCTAGTATCTATATGAACTTTTAGAATTGAGTTTTCTCCTATGATTATTAATTTTTATCTATGAAACTACTTTATCGACTCGATCATTGCGGTATTGAGTCAATGAAGTAGTTTCATAAATAAAAAATAATGATTACGGGAGAAAACACAAGTCTAAAAATTCATATAGACAAAGGGATTCCATTTCACAGTAAGAGGAGACCGCGGTGAAATTTAAGTCTTCGCTTGGTTTTAAGAAGGAAAATCACGTTAGGAGGCTTATTTTTTTTTTTTGTGAATTTTTTTGAGGGAGAAGAAATGATTGGAATTATTAGGACATTCCTCTTCTGGTGTCACCTTCTTCTTTCCAGCTAAGGTATGATAGAGGAAGGTAATCTTGAGCATTGTTCTCCAGCCTGTGCCCAAAAAGTATTTCTTAAAGATTGTGTAGGATGGCCCTACGGTCGAACTTCTTTAGCTTCTTTATAGGTTTCCCCAGGATAGAGTAATCACCGCAGATTATAATGAAAGTAATATTTATTTACAACAGTATGAAATAGGTATTATAAATAAACTTTGGAATGAATGATATCGTATGCTTCACGTGTGGTGTGAGCGTTAGGCGTAGAATGGCTTTGGTATCAAGGCTTGCTTCCGCGGGCGACGGGTTGCGCCTTGAGGGTGATCGGCGCGCTGCGCCGTGAACGAAGTGGGAACTGCGGCGGACGGAGTCGCCACAACCACTCCCCCCCCAGTAACCTTCGGAGGATTCGAAGGGAACGAAACAGTCTTGTCTCTCCTGGGATAAGTACGAAGAGGTCGATCCATGCTAGTGGACGGCAACGGGGGTTCGATGTTGTCAGGTACCTCAGCCTGCTGAGGTTATTGATGATTTGCAGAATCCTCCTTAGCCACATAGGCTGGCTTGAGTCTCTCCACCCATACGACCTTTTCTCAACACCATCGACCTTGATTTTGAAAGTGTGATCGTCTATGCGCTCGATCACCTCATGAGGTCCAGAGTAAGGTGGTTCCAGGGGTCGTTTGACTGCATCGATGCGGAGGAATACATGAGAGCAGGAGTAGAGGTTTTTTAGGAGGAACATGCGCTCTTTAGTGTGATGAGCAGTTGGAGTAGGTCTCAGGCTTCTGATGTGCTCGCGAAACTTCTCGACGAAGATCTGGGGATCTGCTGGCATGTCCTCCGAAACAAAAAACTCGCCTGGAACGCGTAAACCTATCCCAAAGACTAAGTCAGCAGGGGAAGCGTTCAGGTCTTCCTTGTAGCACGTGCGGAGACCGAGGAGGACTGTCGGAAGAACGTCGGGCCATGGAGCTTGTGAGTTGCACATCAGAGCTGCTTTGAGAGTTCTGTGCCACCTCTCAACTAGTCCGTTAGACTGCGGATGATACGGTGTGGTTCTGATGCGGTTAGCACCAATCAGCTGAGTCAGGGCCTTGAAGAGTGCAGACTCGAACTGAGAGCCTTGATCAGTCGTGATGGTGAGAGGTGTGCCAAATTGAGCAATCCAGTGGGTGTAGAATGCGGTACAGACGGTGTCAGCTGTCATATCCTTCAGGGGGATCGCTGCGGGCCACCTGGAGAATCTGTCGATAATTGTCAGACAGTACCTGAGCTGGTTGACCACTGGAAGCTCGATGAGATCAAGATGTACATGGTTGTACGATTGTGACGCTGAATTTTTGAGCGTTGACAGGCGATGCAGTTGCGAGNGCAAATTGAGCAATCCAGTGGGTGTAGAACGCGGTACAGACGGTGTCAGCTGTCATATCCTTCAGGGGGACCGCTGCGGGCCACCTGGAGAATCTGTCGATAATTGTCAGACAGTACCTGAGCTGGTTGACCACTGGAAGCTCGATGAGATCAAGATGTACATGGTTGAAGCGAGTGTCTGGCACGTCGATGTGTTTGGGTGTCAGACGATTGTGACGCTGAATTTTTGAGCGTTGACAGGCGATGCAGTTGCGAGACCACTCCAGTGCGTCTCTCTTGAGACCGGGCCAGATGTATTTCTGCTTGAGGGTGCGAATCGTGATTCGTCCACTGGGATGGGACAACCCATGCACAGTGTCAAAGGCTTCTCGTCGTAGATTTTTAGGGATGAAGGGTCTTACAACGCCTGAAGAAATGTCACAGTAGATCGAGTAAGTGCCATCGATCGATAATTTCTGCAGTTTCAGAGAATTGTTGGTATTGTCGATGAGTTGCTGGAGCTTTTCGTCTTCCTCCTGCTCTTGGTGGATTCTCTCAGGGCTCAGGATGGTGGGCATGTTGATAGCGGTGATCCTGGAGAGTGCATCTGCGACAACATTCTCTTATCCCTTCAAATGCACAATCTCAGTGGTAAACTGCGAGATGTAGCCAAGAAATTTGAGTTGACGAGGAGAAGCTTTCTCTGCTTTTTGCGAAAAGGCGTAGACCAAGGGTTTGTGGTCAGTCCTGATGACGAAGTGGCGTCCCTCAAGGACATGACGAAAGAATTCAACAGCGGAGAAAATCGCTAGTAGCTCTCAGTCGTAAGTGCTCTATTTTCTTTTTTCAGGGCTCAGTTTCTTTGAGAAGAACCCGACTGGCTTCCAGGTGTTGTCCTCAAACTGCTCCAGTGATGCGCCAATAGCAAAGTCAGAGGCATCAGTAGTCAGCAGAAGGGGTCCAGACGGCGATAGAAAGGCTGTGATGGTAGTATCAGCTAGTCTCTGCTTGCAGGCCTCCAAAGCTTCCTCGGTGTCAGGGGTCCACTGGATCTTAGTTTTGTCGTTTTTCTTGGAGTGAGTGATGAAGCCATTAAGCGGTGCTTGGGACTCAGCAGCGTGAGGAATGCTCTTGCGGTAGTAGTTGACCATTCCAAGAAATCGGCGAAGGTCAGTAACAGTCTCTGGCCTGGGGAAGGAGATGATTGCCTCCACACGTGAGCTAGGAGCTTTGTATCCATCCTTGTTGATCGTGTAGCCCAGGTAGGTCACTTCCTCTTTTCCAAACTCGCACTTGCTGGGGTTCAGCGATAGCTTGTGCTGACGTAAGATGGAGAAGACTTGCTGGAGGTGCTGGAGATGCTCCTCATGGGTTTCAGAAGCCACAATGAGGTCATCTATGTAACAGCCAACGAAGTCCAGACCCCTCAGGATGTTGTCCATATGACGTTGAAAGGTCTGAGTTGCATTACGTAGTCCAGGGGGCATGCCCAGAAATTCGAAGAGACCGAAGGGTGTTGTAATCGCAGTCTTTTCGATGTCCTCTGGAGCCATGGGGATTTGGTGGTAGGCGCGTACCAGATCGATGGTTGAGAATATTTTCTTACCGTGCAGGCGCTGGAAAATATCCTCAGGATAAGGTACTGGGTAGCGATCCGGGACTGTCTGTGCGTTGAGTCGCCGGAAATCACCGGTGGTGCGCCAGCCTCCGAGCTTTTTTTCCACCATGTGGATGGGACTAGCCCATTGACTACTAGACGGTCGTATAACACCAAGCTCTAGCATGTTGATATCGTCCCTTGCAGCTTTGAGTTTCTCACCAGCTAGTCTGCGAAATCGATCGACAACCGGAGGTCCTGTGGTGACGATGTGCTGTGCCACACCTGCCGGGTTGTGAGAGGCTGCAGAGACAGCTGGTTTGGTGATGTCGAGGAACTGCTTGAGGAGGTCTGAGTACTTGCCCTCATGAACGGAGTTGGAGAATGAGTGCTGATCCACTGTTGAGATGCCGAAGTCTGAAGTTTCAACAAGTTCTCCAGTTGTTGATAGGGATGTGAGAGGATCGATGAGGCGATGCTTTTTTAGGTCTATCATCAACCCAAAGTGAACAATAAAATCAGCCCCTATGATTGCAGACTGTACATCCGCAACGATGAAGGGCCAGGAGAATGCTCGACGAAGACCAAGGTTGAGTGTAATCGGCTGAAGTCCGTAAGTTGCAATACTGGTAGAGTTGGCAGCGAAGAGTTTGAAGTCTGATGGTTGTAGTTTTTGTTTGACTAAGGCTCGTGGTAGCACTGATACGACGGAGCCAGAGTCGACGAGGAATCTGGTGTGTGAAGACCTATCGTAAACGTGAAGACGCTGCTCTTTGATGGACGGCCTGGATGGATGACCTGAGCGCTGCCGCCAACCACCTGGACTAACGACAGCTCAGTTAGTTTCCCTGGTTGGATGGTTTCCACGCATAAGGCTGGAGGCACTTGGCGGCCCTGGCAGCGAATCTCTGGTGATAGAAGCAGTGGTCTGGTGGTCCTGGAGTTCGGGATCGTGATCGTGAATGAGACCAAAAATCTGGTAGTTTGAACTGGGTGACTGCCATGATGTAAGCTTCATTGTATCCAAGTGACTGAGCGTGGTTGACTAGCATCATCAGTGGAACGGCATTTTGTTGAATGCCAGATGCACCAGCAGCGATAACACCAGTTGCTTGTGCGTCAGTACCAAGAGAAACTAATGGGGGCAATACGTGCTGACTTTGTTGCTGCTGTACCAACAAATTCTGTTGATGCTGTTGCTGTTGTTGCTTTGCCAACAATTGTTGCTGTTGCTGTTCTTGGTGTTGTTGAGCAGTCATTTCCCCAGTATGTGCAGTCGGTGAATGGCTGAGCGGCATGACTGGTTATAACGACTGTTGATGCGGTGACTCGTGTTCGATGGGGTTAACCTCGTGTAGAAACGTAATCTGTTGAAATCACGTGGGGTCACCAATTTAGCTTCTTTATAGGTTTCCCCAGGATAGAGTAATCACCGCAGATTATAATGAAAGTAATATTTATTTACAACAGTATGAAATAGGTATTATAAATAAACTTTGGAATGAATGGTATCGTATGCTTCATGTGTGGTGTGAGCGTTAGGCGTAGAATGGCTTTGGTATCAAGGCTTGCTTCCTCGGGCGACGGGTTGCGCCTTGAGGGTGATCGACGCGCTGCGCCGTGGACGAAGTGGGAACTG